ACAAGTGAGAAGTTGTGATAGGGTGGCAGTGGGACAAGTGTGTAAAGAGTGGATATATAGACAATGACAGAAAGAGGATTGATAGTGTAACCGTTTTCTGTAGAACGTTTGTCGAGTGATTGACTTCACTTGTCTCTTTGACGAGTTCGTACCTTGGTGCGGCGAATAGCAAAGCTCACTGATGATGCCGGCGAAACGTTTGAGAATGTACCAAGTCCACTGCCTGATGCTGGGAATCATGACAACTACAATAGCAGACGACTTCGGACTAGGTACGTTCTACATAGTCGCCCTGACAACAGGACCAAGTTGTGACAACGATGTCAACCCCTTTCTATAAATGGAAAGGAGACTGCGACCATACCAGAGGCCACCACATCTTGGTCTCCATATCTTCAATGATAATCAGAAGCCTACTTCGAACGCATGTGGAATTCTGGGATGAAGAATAGGAAACATTGACTAGGATAAACCTAGGCAACAGCTACTTAAGCGAAATAAGGCAAAGAAACACACGGACCGTGAAAAGCCGATTGCAGAACAGTAAAAAGGGAGAAGGATTCACAAAACTGAATATGCCGACTTTCCTGTGAACTCAACTATGGTCAATACTAAGGAAATAGAATATTCGGGAAGTCATGAAAGAAAAAAACATCACTTTTCACAACTCTACCGACGCAACATGACAGGATGGAGAAATTGGATTTCTCAAGGGTTTACTGCACAACATGCGGCTCCGATGAACAGAAATATATTGGCGAAACTGTGAGAAAATTCAGCATACGAAGCAAGGAACATCAAAGGCTCTGCAAGAAAATGGATACTAAAAGATCAGAATTAGTTGAGCACACGGCACAAACTGGATACAAGATCTATCGAAGGCAATTGAAAAAAGGGACTATATGATGGAAACATAAAGAAGCGGAAGGATAGGTAGGCCATTGACATTCCCGGAGGGGGAAGAATCTAATGAAAAGGAGATTGGAAAAAGACAGAGTTA